CATCATAGACTTAAACTATTTAGAGAACCATCTCGAACCTGGGAGTACTTAATAGCTGCTTCATCGTAGTACGGAAATTTTCTGCCGTACGGACCCACGATGCCACCAGGCACTGAACTCAGAACCTTCATGTGTCATGAAAAACGGATTGACAACTCAGCCACTGAGTTTGAGTTCAGTGGTCCGCAGGTTCCAACATTCGCCGCGAGACCTGAAAGTCTTGAATTCAATTCCTGGTGGGATCGATAGTACGTACTTCTGAAGAGTCCTATACTTGGACGAAACTGCCGTTCAGTGTTCCCAGGTTTCCAGTGATTCTCTTCAAACAATTCTTTCAATAACTATGATTTTAGACTGGTATCCTATAAGTCGCCTAATGAATTCATCACTTATCCAATTGTTTAATAAGTTGGAATTGTTTCTGCATACTTTTGTGTACAACACACAGACGTATACCGAAAATGCATATTATTGCAACTTAGCTATCTGCACATGCATCAACTTTTTTTCATTATAGATAGCTACTTATCTACACTTCATGCTGTTTTGTTAGTATGATAATAACATCATTTTGAAGATAGCTGTGGCTTGGCAGACTGGTAATGATACTGGGTGATGATTGAAAGTGAGATGAAAATTTCGACCGCGGTCGTACTCGAACCAGCGACCACCAGGTTTGTGAATTCACATGGTAGTCGGGTAAAACCCCGCTTGTGATTTAAGTGAAATAAAAATGTGGTTAGCAGTCGGATCTCATAGCTGTGCTGGTAGAGCATCAGACCGGAAACCCGGTGGTCGCTGGTGCGAATCTGGCCGCTGTTGAAATTTACATTTTAGCTTCACTACTAATCATAAACGAACTCCTGATTTTCGACTTTCTCGTAGATTAGTGATAGGACGATTTATCAGATTTTTGATCTAAACAATTACTCATCTCCCTAACTGTTCTTATTTCTGATATTCGAAGGTATTATCATTGTTATTATTTCTGCCCCATGAAAAAACAAATGAATTTCGATTGTAAATCGTGATAACAATAATCATGATAAATGTCAATTATGAGTGGACCGAGTAGTTTAGTAATAATAATCGCTTTATTCCAAATTACTTGCATGATACAGTATGATACAGTATGCATCTGATAGTGTTACTAATGACAGTATTTAAGGCACTCATTTGAAACGGGCAACTAGTGTTGAATTTAACATCTTGTTTGGACTGATCAATGAATAGAAAATCGATTGTAATTTTTGGTGAAGACGGTAGTTCAATCAGCCAGTTAAAAAATCTGCAATTCATTATAGGTGGTAACCTAGGGATAGCACTGTGCTGTATTTTGAGCATTTATAAGTTCATTTTTATCCAGTGTAACGTTTTTCTTTGTTTCGCTCTTAACTTGAGAAACGACAGTTTAAAAATATATTGTTGTTTACCACTTTGACCTACCTGAGATAGCCGTGGATTGACAGACTTGCATTGATACTGAGTGATAACTAACTGTAAAATGACAATTTTAGCCGTGACAGGATTCGAACCAGCGACTACTGAAGTTCTAGTCTGGTGATTCCGTAACTCAGTTGGTGGAGCACTGAGCGGGAACCGTGATTGTCGCTGGTTTTAATCCTACCGCGGCCCGAATCCTTTCACCTTTCATCATCATCCAATATCAATCCAACAGGTGGCACTATAACGAAATGTTAGGGATTGCATATCCGTATAGGAATGAGAAACTGTGCTGGCTGTTACGATTGTTGCTTTGAAGTTGTATGGTGCGAAAAACTTCTATTGTATGGTGGTAAGAATTAAAGCAGTTACTGTCGTATTGCAAATAAAGTACGCTATGCTTGAGTGTCCGAGGAGTAAGGTTGTACTGATGACTGTATGTGTATCATCACGGTAATATATTCTTCTAGAATAACCGACATTTCAAACTGATACTGCCTTCTGATGCTAAAGAGACTCCCTTTTTTTCTTAGGTTTACAGCTGAATCAATTGCATATTAGATTAATCCATTTGAAACAGTACACAGTGATTTTTGTTACTCATATGACAGTTTGCCAAACGCACTTATATAGGGGTCAGTATTATTAATATTAGGCTTGGAAATATAAGAACCTTTCTTCAATACAGATAACTTCAGTGACATCATCTAATTTACTATACTGCAAGGATATAAGCACTTTATTTACCATAGAGGATAGTAGGTAACAACTTTACGTGACAGCAAGAAATAGGGGTATTTATTGAAAAAAGTAGAAAATATCTCCACAATTTAAGCTCGGAGATGATGAATGAGTGCCAAATCTTACTGAAGCATTGGTTCAACTTCAGATAAAAAACCTGAATGAATTATTTTGCGAACCTGGAGAATACCGTATATACCTGTATAGGTGTGGTTCATGAGTTTAGGTAGTTGACTTTCAACCGGTGGATCATAGGTTCAGATCCCACTCCACCTGCTATAGTTTATGCAACCAGGTAGTATCATAAGACCTCACACCAGAGATGTGGTTCATTGCCTCCTGCACGAACGTGTGCAAGGTTGTTGAGTGCTTTTTGATTTCCGTTTCAGTTTCTATATATTTAGTTCCCCTAATGATCTCGAATAACGCAATGAGTCCACCATTTAAAGAATAAAATGACGACATTTTACTTCACAATATTTTCAGCAACATACAGCATGAATAAATAGGTAAGTAGCTACTGGAACGATTAGTAACATATTTGGAGTGTCATGAGATGTTTGTTCGTGTTTTGATGATCGAATAAAACATTACAATCCTGAACATAAATTCAGTGAAACTATATAAATGTTATGTATGTAAGGCAAGGTGACGAATTTTGGTGTTAATGGTGGATATTGGCTAGCGGTGGAGTCCAAGATGCGGGTTTCGTCCTATCTGGGACTCGTCAGCTGGATGTGCCTGCCTCTCAGAGAGTGACCTTGTTCTCACTCGAACCCAGGACTAATCGTATGAAACTGCAGATTGTTATCCACTAGGCCGCTGAGTCAAGGTCGAAATGCTTGTCCTGTATTCCACTAGTGGCCACTATGTATCATTATTATTATCAAAAGTGAAAATACAGACAATATCGAGGCATCTGCACGGAAGCCCATATGCCAAAGGTGACCGGTCAATTAGGTTCAATCGGCAACGAAAATCCACTAGCTATGACTTCAGAAGGTGAGGATAGTTCATGAATGAAGGAGATAAGGTCGGAAATAAGGGGAAGCAGTTTCGCAATCATGTGAAATTATTATCTTAACAAAAAGATGAGTGAATGAGATTAATTAACGTATTAGTGACAAATACAGTAGTAATTAAACGACAGTCAATATGAATATGAAAAGGGCTAAGCGTTAAATGAAGGTAATAACATTTTCTTTGGGGGGGGGGGGGAAGGTGTTACACTTTTCCTGAGTCATTTCAACCACACCAATATCCTTGTCACTTTGAAGAATCACGATTAGTTCTTCAAAGGCGAACGAACTGGATTCTTATTTGTACTTCAAGGCATTAACTGGCATCTTGAGATGCTTCATATGAAGTATTTTGATAATCTTTCCAATAATTATTTACTTACTATATGTTTATGAAGCTAGTAAAACTTGTGTATCACAAAATGTCATCATCCTAATCTGTAAAATGGTGTTCTTATTGCGTTATTCATGGTTTAGTTTTTTCTTGCTCTTGTGTTTGAGAAATCGAAATGTGTAACAACCTAACATGATATAATCTTTGAATAGAAAACATCAATCTTACTTACTTACTTACTTACTAGAGAAATGGATGGTATACAGTCACATTGGTTATGTACGCTAATGTAGAGTGGAAAAATTAATTATAATAAACTTTTGAATAATCTCGTGACCACGTCTACTATTATGTTGATTAAATGAAAAGTACTTGGCATTTTTACTGTCTGACAGTCAATTAACGCATATATATTTACACTGGTTAAGCATTTACAGTTTAAAAAAAGCACAGAATCGAGGGTTATATACACAAAAAGTTGTTTCTAGACAAAAAAAATAAAACATCTGATGAATGACTTTTGGACTTTCATTTTAAGTTCTTTTACAAGGTTTGATAATTTCCTAAACTTTTGTATATGAGGTTACCACTTTATAAACAGACACCAAAAATATACGCCAGTTAGAGACGACCATACGCTGTCTTCCTGGTGTTGTGATATGGTGCACTTAAATATGTACTGTTTTGATAGTTACGTGGTTTTGTTCCATTCTTTGTTTCCAATTAAGTTAGTCTGTTTAATTGTCTTTTAGGCTGGATGATGATTGAAGGTGGAATGAAAATTTGGACCGCGGCTGGATTCGAACCAGCGGCCACTGGGTTTCCGGCTCTATCAACTCATCTACGAGGTCCAACTGCTGACCAGATTTTTATTTCTTTTCAATCAATTGTTAGGGTTTCAGACCAGAAACCCGGTGGTCACTGGTTCGAATCCGGCCGCTGTTAAAATCTTCATTTCACCTTTAATCATCACCCAGTATCAATACTAGTCTGCCAAGCCAAGGCTATCTGAGATAGCTGAAACGATAATTGTCTTTTATTATGTTCCATAAACAGTTGGATTCCTTGCGAACGATTCGGGGAGAAACAATCAGAAGCTGTGAATTTTGTTAGAATGAAGACTTCTGCAGTTTGGTTTCTTGTAATTGTTTTATGCATATGGTATGCTTTTTTGGCTAATGCACCCTACTTTTAAATATTGTAACAGTCTATGATCCAGCTTCATTTAATGAATTTTTGACTTCCAAGTGGTGTTGTTAGCTTGTAAGTGATATTCGCCGCTTAATATCCAGTATGCAAATCTTGTAATTACTGTCGAGTTCCACTAGGTTAGAATAAAAACAGAAGAGTTTTATCTACTCTAAGTAACCTAGTAAACTGTTTTTTGTTTACCTACTAGACTTATTAAATTCTGCTATATTTCCTAACCACCTTTCCTTATCCAACTTCTTTTTGTTGTTTAGTTCCTAGATCAACGTTCAAGACAACCGCCGGATAAAACAGTTGATTCATTTGAATATCGAGCATCTGAATTACGTGATCACGCAAAAAATGTCTATCAGTATAAAACTTCTGTATCAATTGCTCCAATCTTTACAAGTTCTTTGTCAAATATTGCATCTAATGCAGCTAAGTGTGAGTTGAAGATAGGAAGGAAAAAGATTAATTTTGGTAGTCCAGATTGGTTACGCGCTAAAAAACTGAAAAATCCTGGTCGTATATGCCATACTGGGTTGACAGATACAACGAAACGTATGAAATCTGAAAGTGCATTTAATTGGAATATTCTATCAAAAAAGGTATTTCATTTATTATACTATCCTTTGTTGTTTTGTGTTGAAGATATTTAGAGTAGTGGTTGAAACTTCATGTTATCAATGACTGGACAAAAAAATACTATTTTTTATACTACGTGATGATTGAAGGTGAAATGGAAATTCGGACCGCGGTGGATTCCAGCCAGCGATCATGCGATATGAATATGTCTGCCAAACCACGGCTATCTCAGATAGTCGAAATAATAATAATCACTATGATGCTCCCCCTCTCTGATTCAGTTATATTTGGATGAGAAATCCTGACTAGGTAGCCAGGTGTGAGTTCGATCAAGCGATAGCAACGCGTCACGAATTCGCATGGTAGTCAGTCAAAACCTCTGGTGATTGCAGTGAAATGAAAATGTGGTCAGCAGTCGGACCTGATAGGTGAGTTGACAGAGCATCGAGTCGGAAACCCGGTGGTTTGAATTCGACCGCGGCTCAAATTTTCATTTCACTTTCAGTCACCATCCAGTATAAATACTAGTCTTCCAAGCTACGCTATCTCAGAAAGTCAAAATGATAAATACTAATTTTTCAATGGGACTCTCTGAAGTGGCCTTGGTTTGGCAGACTGGTCGTGGTGATACAGGATTCAAACAAGTGACCTCTATGCAGCTTTTCATTTCACCTTCAATCATCACCCAGTATCAAACACTATTTTGTAGCAATATGCAGCTGACTCAACGTATTGACCGCATGGTCAATGAGGAGAGGATATTGTAAAAAAAAGATTAACTCTGTGATTAACTTTAAGCGAAGAACACCTATTATGAGCACTCTATAGTCCCTTATATACTGTCATGATGTTCTTCAAACAGAAAGATAAGTATCATATTTAAAATGTTGGGAAATTTTGTTGTAAAACAGTCTCACAGAAAAAAGAATCGATGTTTGGTGCATGTGACAAACTGATAAAAAAGTAGTTTGAATTTATCAACTAAGTAAATAAAACTGCAAGGAATTATGGCAATTTCTGTGGATCTAACATCCTCATGAATAATTTCACATCGTTAGTATTAATATTTCAGGCACCAAATTACAGAATATTGCTTTCGGGTTTATATTTATCATAGATTGACATCAGTTGGAGAAATATTAGAAACCTGGAAGTACTAGACAGCTGTTTTGTCCTAGAAATGAGATTTCTCGGTAGTCTGCACCCATGACCCCGCCCAGCCAGGGACCGAACCCAAAACCTTGAGGTTCTGTCGTCAGCACGTTTCCATTGAGCTACTGGATCGGAATCCAGTGGTCTATATTTGCTACTTTTGTTAGTTCATGATTTAGCGTGACGTCCATCTAATCCCGTCGTGGAGTACCTCTCTTCATATCCGACTTGGTTGTCTCTACCGGTCACGACTTCTAGAAACTTCAGGAATCACCTCTTGAGGCGGGTCATCAGACTAGATTCAGTTCAATTTGGAGGTTTGTAGTGATTTATTTACTTACATTAGGTTGGTATTTATCATGGAATGACATTTAGAGAAATATTAGAAACCTGAAGCCACTAGACAGCTCTTTCACGTCAGTATGGCATTCTTCAGCAGTATTAATCCATGACCTTGCCATGGATGGAATAGAATGTTGGCCTACTCAAAGTCGATAACTATAAACTTATTCAAGCTTGGAAATTCATTATGCATCATTAGACTTAGTCTCGTGTGTAATTCAAGAATTTATGAATGGAAATGAGATCGAGAGAAATGCATTTCATAACATTACAGTATTTTCACCTCTGAATTCAGCTAGCCATTATATTCTTTAAGGATGTTCTTATGAAACATTATTAGTTAAATTATAGTCATAAATTCAACGAAAGGAAATATTCATACTTGTTGATGAATGAAATTGAAGTGAAATTCTAGACAGCAGCAGAATTCGAACCAGCTGTCCGTAGGTCACTAACCTGGTATTTTACCAACTGAGCTACAAGATCCACTTACTCTTCAGATATTAATATTTGTTTCTGCTGTCGATTTCTTCATCTTTTGTTTATCCTTCGGTGCAGCTGTTTACATTAAACTCTTTTTACATTGTTCCCTTTTACTACTCTTATTTTTCATTTTAACTAATACTCATGGATTATTATTATTATCATTATTATGTGTTGTTTCTAGTCTCCATGTGTTCACTTCTTGTTTGAAATGTAATTATTGATCAGTGTTATTAATTGTATTATCCCATCGTTGATTGGACCGAATTTTGATGGGTATCTATTGAATTTTATTGGTAACATCATCGCTCACTTGAAGGTAGATACATGAAGCTGACGAGTCCTAAATAGAATGAAACTCATGCCATAGTTTCCCTTGCTAGTCACTATCCTTCATTAACGTAATTATTGGTTACCTACACTCATTTAACGCATTTATTCACTGATTATCTAAAATTGTGTTCAATAAGTTTTAACTCAGTTTTAGTCTTTGAATCTGTTAACTTTACATACAATTGTCATACTTCAAATCTGTATGACAATTTGTTCAGTGTAAAGTTATTGTATGTAAGAGTTGAATTTGATGAAGAGTTTAACCTGAGTTCCTATTCACATTTAGTTGGTGTTCTCATCTTATTGAGAGGGAGTATGAATTCTATTGATATCTCAAATGCATCTATCTAATAACTTCCCAAAATGTACTAAGCCTGAGGGAATTAGATTTTTTGTATTGATTAACCTCTGAATATAAAATGATATAGGATTTCAGTATCTCATTTAGTCATGTAACATCCAGATGCAATAATATCTTATTATTTCTTGATATATATTTCCCCTTTTGATACAAATAAAACTAGAAGAGTAAATAGTAGTGATTTCAAGATATGCCATTTAGATAGCATCAGTATAATGAAATCGATTGTGATGGGTGGCAAGTGAATTGAAAAATTTCATAGCTTTCTGTTGGTTGATTCCCAACATAAATAATGCAAACATATAATGCACCATAGTGTTGCTTCATATCAGTTTGTGACTACATGGCACAACTTAATCCAATAGACTTCGATCAGCGCCAAGCAGTACTCCGTAATCATTGTAGTTCCAGGTAAATTACTCACTCATTCGTCATACAATGATTTAACTCTAAATTTCTATAGACTAGTGTATTTCACTCACTCAATGACTTAGATTCAGAATCTTTCATCACTCTTCTACTCAAATATTGTCATTACTTCTCATCATGTTTGCCGGTCGCAGATGGTACAGCATTGTATACATGCATAAGCGATATTCAATCAGCAGTTCTACAGCCTACATCAACCTCTGATGAAAGCTAATTTTGAGATCAATAAGTCACTACAATCTATCGGTTGGATTTCATTCTTCATTTATTTGCTTGGAAATTGTATATGATTTATCTAAGATCTCTTATCTGGGATTATTGAGAAATCCACAGTTAAATTCCTTTACAAAAACTGAAATCTACAAGCTTAGACTCTATTTTGTTAACTGTCAACTAAATATTTTTCGTTGGTGATCATTACACGCTGAATTCCTGCTTAGGCACGTGAGTGGAACGTGTGTATTAGGTTATGAAGCAGAAGTAAATCTAGGTGATTGAGGTGTGAATTACTCAAGCCTAATCACTATACGCATCAGTAAATCTGGAAAAGTGACTTTAACGAACCCCTACGATGTTTATACGCATGTAAAGCCATTGACTGTTGGGTAGAGCCGTGAAGACAAATGTGTATCCCTTAGATGGGATCCTCATGACAACCGTTATTAGTGGTTCATATGACTAGAAATCAGTCATAGTCCTTCTGATATATCTATCGAAAGTTGTTTTCCAAAGCCAAATAGCTAATCACTTCCGTACTGTTTTTATTCCAAACACATGGTTCTTTTAACTTCTTCTGCCTCTGAGATTTTGCTTCATCGGTACCATTTATTGTCATCGTTTCAGTTTACCTGTTACTGCCGATTTAGAGTCAGGTAATCTGCATCGGTAGTAAAGGATAGTACCAGTCCCCACTTTTATGATCAGTATATCTGATCCTGATTTCACAGCTTTTTCTCCTCTTCTCTACTACCTATTCAGCATAGTTTTACATTACTGACAATCAGTTTCTCTTTATTTTTTTCTCTACTTAGACTGAACAACCATTGTTTTCTCACAAAAGTAATCATTTTGGCTCAATGGATATACACCCTCAGAGCACGCCAGTAATGTCACGTATGCAGGACATGAACTATTCATCGTTACGAGGTCGACCTAATTCATATTTTACTCATCCATCGCCTACCTTGCGATCAGAAACTGTCCCCACTGGATACAATCGTTCAAAGGGGAACAGGCCTGACAAACATGACGATCAAGATTTTTGTACAGATGAAAAAATTGGCGCCAATGGGTAAGATATATACACATATATGCTGTTGAAATGTTTTTTTCATCGAGGTCCTACCATGCCAGAAAGGTTAACGGGATAATGATAAGACGAAAGGCGGTTATCGTCATAGTCTGAATTGCTACGCTATGATGTGGGTCAGACGATCAAGTCGAGCCTCTGGTTAGATGGGGGTGTGATGGAAGTTAGCTGTTTTCCTTGGATGATCAGCAGTACCACAATGATGCTGCCTTCTCTGTGAAAAGAGAGGTTCGAAAAGGTTGGCCCTGAAAATAGAGCACACTCCTTTGCCCAGCAGCATCCCGATGATGCGGTTTGGGTTCATAGCCGGATTTTCACTTCAAACTTCTAAAAAAACCGTTTGTGATAAGCTTTAAGCAGATCTCCCTCGATCTCTGAGGTTACGCACTAACCCTTCTTTTTCAGTTATGTTGTGGGTAGCTGGGAAGTGTTGACCACTCTCACAACTCTTTCAGCGCTTAACTTCCCTCAGATCACTGTCCACCTTCCACATCCTCAACTTCTATTCTTCCTTCATTTCTCTCGGTCATTAATCCTGCATTGTCTCTAACTGACAATGGAACAACATCCTTGATTTCCTGAAAAACACGCTCCTAAATGCACTTTAGAGCGTTCAGCATGCGCACTCTCCTCTTTAAATCGGCCAACAAGCTTTGCTGGGTCGAAACTCTAACATCTCAGACCATAGATTTCCGTAGTGTTTGTGAGAAACACATACAGGAGCCTAGTGTGGCTGTTCACTTAGTCTCAACCGCTCAATATGGTGAATCTTCACAATTCAGCCTTCAAGTTTCTGGAGATTCGATGACCGGTTCTTTGGGGTCTTGCAGGTGTAATTATAGCAGAATGTGCAGTCCTCGACTGCATCGCCATGAGATACGATTGTCTAATAAAGACCGAGGATACTGTGTCGCAGTTCGCTGTGTTCTACTGTTTTAATGTGAAACATGGCCATTAAAAGTAGAGGATGTGAAAAGGCTTTAGATATCTAACCACCGTTATCTTCGTTACACAGACAATGTGTCGTAGTGCCACTGCATTAATAATGTAGAAGTCAGATCCAGAGTTTTAGGGAGAAGAAAGTTAGTTTATGAGGTTGTGAATTTTCATCGATTGAGATGGCTAGTACATGTGTTGCTCTTGTATAGTCACCATCTGCCTTGTACATTGTTAACAGAAGTCTGTCCAATCAACAACGGTATAATACTAAAACTATACGCGTCATACAAAGAGTGACTATCGTTACTCGGTAGTGTAGTGGATAACGCTCTTGTGTTTGAAGCGATTACTACTGAGTTCCAATCCCGGTGGTAAAAATATCACTTACTGGAAGGCAGGTGCATCCAGCTGATGAGTCCCAAATAGGATGAAATGCGCATCCTGGATTCCTCTGCTAGCCACTATCCATCATTATCATAATTAGAAAACAGCTAATATCGGGGCATCCTCACTGGAGATCATATGCCAATAGAGAGCGATCAATTCGGTTCACTCAACGACGACATAATACAAGCAATTATTTTAGAATTAGGTTTAGCCTGGAAGAAGGTCAGGGGCGGCCAGACTAAAACATAGCATCATTACATGAAGTCTCTTACAGTTAATCTGAATCGTGTAGAGAAATGTTAATTTCTTGGTCAGGGTCCACGTGACGACAGAAACAGGCGTTTGGAGACTGAGTGATATGGCTCAAGATTGGTCTTCATGGCGCAGATGTACTTATGCGTTACCTTCATCTTAATCGCCATACTGAATTAAATATTTTCTTATTTCTCCTTGTTATTTTATCAAGAGTTTCTATCACTTTAACCGCTTTTTCCCCTATTTCCCTATCTTTCATCTTCTTGCTTTCTTCCTTCTTGCGCTGGCATGAGGTATGACAACTTGGACAGTTGTGCAGTAAGACTCGGTCTTTGATAACGATGACCTTACCTAAATCAAGTGTCTTTGGCTTGTTCTCCATCATGAAGTTATCATTCTTGAAGTTTATGAGGGATCGATATTCTCCTGTCTCCATATAATATCATTTGAAGACCCACATACATCTCAGATCATTAGTCAGAGACTTTATGTACTGATGCCACGTTTAAATGTAGCCGCCTCTAACCATTTTTTAGCCTTATTCTACTTCGACAAACATGATATCAGGCAAACTGTGACCAAACTTGGGAGTCATCTGAGTCAACAAATGTTTACAACCTCATCAACTAACCTACTTGAAGCCTGATTTATACGTTACTGATGTTTGTTCAACAGCAAGCGACCTGTATTAAACGGGCAATGTTTGTCGCACACCTGGATTCTTCGTCTTTAATGGCCATGTTGAACATCCATTTGGTAAGACACAGTGGACTGCAGTGTAATCTACCTTACTTTTAATAGGTAATTAATTGGATATCTTACCGGTGCGATAGATGGTGCAAGTTCTCAAAGGCTAACCGAGTCTTCTGTATCTATGCAGAGACTTCATCGATCACTGGCCCATGAGGGTTGGTCCGACTTTCCAAGTAAGTGAAGTGTTCGACGAGTCACCGACGCAGATCACTCCTGGTGCAAAAGTCTGGATTTAGGTGATACAAAATGCATCCCAAACGTTCTTAAATTGTCACTCAAGGTGTCTCGAAAACATATCTTTCCAGCATTTTCATCTAACACTGCTGTGTCATCTACGTACACTATGTTTTCTAAAGGGTCTCCTATGACAAGATCAGTCCCTGTTCAATCAGATGACGATAGGGAAACCTGCACAAACGAGTGTATGATCATGTTAAATGAAAACAAATGAATGGACATCATTAAAGGATATCACTCAGCGTACACAGTTCACGTGCTACCTCATGGTAAGCGCTAACACATCCTCAGGTGTGAGAGTATATGGCCTTCCAAAAAGTGACGCATTTACCTCACATCCCTTTTACTAATAGACAGACAGTGTCATAAGACCCGTCGACCGAGAGAGTCGAATGACGCTTCCAAGTCAAGATATACAGCTAGTTTTGAGTACTAGCAAGTGTGCTTGTGTTTCAAGATCCAGCGTAGGGTGAGTATCTCACCGATGCACTCAGGGTCAAATCTGAAGGTTGTCTGGTTTTCTCGCGTCAGTTGTTCCCTAGGTCCACATGGGTGTTTAATGGTTATATAACCTAAAGTTTGTGACATTGTATTCATCATGTTCATTGCTCTCCTTTTTTTGACGATCGGAAAAATTAGCCACTGATACCAGAGGAGATCGTATCTAATTCTTATTCTCTGGTTAACACTTTAGTTAGGATGCCCAATAATTTTCAGACATCGTTGTTAAATACTTCTGGTGAAAACCAATAGGAGTTTTCTGTCCTTCTTTGTTTTACGTTACTTACAGCCTTCGTAACTTTTGCGAGAGTTGGATGCCCTATCTCAACGTTCCACTCAGAATGCAACCGGAAAGCGAGTCACCGAAAAGTAGCTAGAGACCAGTTGATCTGTTCCTTGAAGTGTTGTGTCCGTCATTGCAGTTGTGTCCTTTATGAGTTCATTAGTGACCAATCTTTCTTCACTGTCGTCCAACTAACTACTGACTTTCTCATATCAATTTCCCTAATAAATCTAAATAGCCGTCTACTATTGCCTTTTTCCGCTGCCATTCTCACATATTTAACCTTCGTTTCCTATCACCGCTCACAGGCATTGAATATACCCTTTTTCAGACTATTCTTAAGTTACTTCTACTTATGGTTATGCTCGACTGCTTTTACTTTTTCAGATTTGCTCACTCTCTCTGATTTTTACTGCTGTTCTTACAGCACATTGAAGAAGGTGCCAGTCACTTTCCAAAAGGGTGATGTCATTTTCCGACAAATTTCTATCTAGTTTGTTTTTCAAAGTAGTTTTACCGTATTCATTATCGAACTAAGCTCACAACAGTCTATCAGTCATAGCGTTCCTACACCCATTCAGGTGCTCGAATCAACACGTGATTATTGTTTAAACACGCTCCATAATTATCATCGCTTTTCCACTAGCCCTCTCCAAGACTAACTCAACGTGATACGAGCTATCCGTTTCTGAGGTTAATGGACACCTAGTTAGTCAATGTCTCTCTTTCGGTTCGATATTCGTGCTAGCAGGTGGTTTTCTGAAAATAGCTGTAGCATGCTCACAGCCTTATTCGTTCATAGGACCCGGATTCCGGAAGCAGTACACCTGCAAAATTACGAGAACCCTCTAAGGAATATCCAGAAACTTGTAGGACGAATTTCACAGATTCCCCACATTTGCAGCGTGAGGTTATTTAGATAAACACTCTTTGATATCTTATATATGTTTCGCATACACAACATACATTTGTCTCCCGAAATGCTTAAGTTTTCATCAACAAAGTCTGCTATCGTAGGGTGCAGGCATTGTTAGTTGGTTGGAGGCAATCAGCAGGAAGCCCTGCCGATTGGTTGCCACATTGCAAATATGATCGATAGAATTCGGTCTGCACTCAGGACTAGACAATATGAAACTAGTTGCACTCTCGTGACCATTCAATACAGGTGCAGGCATTGTTAGCTTTGATATACAGTTTAGAGCGTCGTTGTATGAGACAATGAATGCTATCCCCTGAACTCAAGTCATTGTCATGGGTTGTTGGGCTGGAAGAAGTTATAAATGCCATTAAATTAATAAGAGATAAATTCGATGCAAAACTAGAATCCAACAATGTGGTACGTTAGTGGTGATCAGGAAGCTCTTCTTTGCTAACAGAAGTATAGGGGTGGGTCATAATTTCCAGGTAAGCACACTGTTTTCAAGGATTCTTTGTTTTGAGTCACCTGCAAAGAAAAGGCGATCGGCAAGAGGTAGTCTTATCCTTACCTGTCATAAATGGTCTTTTTCGGGAGTTTTGGATTTAGGTTTCGTTTTCTTTTGTCTAGAATTTATTTATTACCTTTAAGCTGGTTTATATCACCAAATTTTAATATGTAGCCTTTATTTGTTTGAGGCTTTCCTTTTAGAGTAAAGTTCTCGTTATAGAATAATTTATCTTCACATATATATAGGTTATGATGGCTTGATGTGTAATTAGGAATTGAGACTAACTGTTTACTACGAACTTAACACCTAATCTAGTCTTGTAGGGGTGACTCATAATTGGACTGAATAACTTTGATTCATTTACGGCAACCGTTACTACTAATTTAGGGGTGAAACTTATGCGCTGTGATTGAGCCTAGTTACATGTTAGATTATTGCTTGGTACTTGTATATCCCTGTTGCTATACAGGATCGAATTCCTCGACTTTTGCGGTGTCGTTCCAAACAATCCGTACCGGGTTCGAGCATCAGTGGGAACGAGATCACTGACAGAGATCCAAGCAAATCTATCTGATGAGTTCCAAATAGGACGAAATGCGCTTCTTGGATTCGACTGCGAGTCATTAAGATTGCTTATTTGATATGATTATGTTAAATAAATCCTGCTTGAAACGTTATTGAGTAAATAATACTATATTATTATTAGATAAAGAGTTCAAAATCTTTTCTTGGTACCTCAGTTTACTTACAGTAAAGTTTTTCAATATCCAGTTTTTGCAAACATAAATTTGATCATGTCTTTTTTTCAATTATGTATATAGTTTACTGAATTCTTCATCGCCTGCTACACCGCAATACTATAACTCATCAGATACAGACTACAACAAACGAATAAAACGTAATCCACCTCCACGACCTCCTCCACCTCGTCCATCCAATATACGATTGAACAGTGGCGATAACATGGAATCACAAAACCTGAATATCAAAAAAGATGTACTACCTTCAAGAAATAACCCACCAGTTTCACCTACAAGGTTAGATAATGTAAAATGTGAAAATTTCACTGTCCCATCGTGGTATGATAAAACTCGTTCACTTACTCATATTCGACGTAAAACTTGCCCGTCTTCTGATGACTTTCCTCCTCCATTACCTCCACGTCCAGCCCCATTGTCTTCAAAGCTGGTTAGTTCCTTGTGATTTTTCATTTCATATATTAGAGTTTTACTACCGAATTTGTTTCTCTAAACTCCCGATACACCAGTTTATTCGTGTTGGTATTATTATTTTCCTAACCCTAATATCGTCTTAACTCCCAGCTCACTGGTTTATACAGGACGTTCTATATTCTCCAAAGGTTTCATTATCTTGGTGTTTTTATTCTTGTGTATCTCTGTAATGTATGCATGAACGCCCGAAGCACTTGCAACATAAACAAAACATCATCTCTTCCTGCTTTTTAGAACTATAAATTAGTTTTTCTTTTGTCCCACGACTCATCAATGTTATGTGTCCCATTGGGAACCGAAATCCTCAGATATATTAGTCAATGCATCCGTTTACACCATCGGTCTAGACTCAGTCACTGAACATTTTCTAACTTCACTCAACCTGTTTTTCAACAGTGTATGCTTAATGCAAGAGAAATCTAACAGAATTAAATAATACTGTGACACTTTATTTCGGTAACAAACAGTGGAATCCAAGATACGCGTTTCTTCGTATTCGTAGTTCGTCAACCTGATGTGCCTGCACCCCAGTCAGTGATATTGTTCCCACTGAGACTCAAACCTAGTACCCATTGCTTCAAACATCAAAGCGTTATTCACTTGGTGACTGCGGGACAAGAGTCACCTCTTGTGCAACGAATATCATTTGTTTTTTTCTCTTGACATTTATAATTTCCTGTCGCTATACAGGGCCGAAATACTTGGCCTCTGTTAGTAGTTGGGCTCCTATTCAGATGCCTTGGTCATTCAGGATATTTATAATGTTTTATCCACTTTGGTGACTGCCAGCGGAACTCAGGACGTGCGTTCCGTGGCTATCGTGCCCCAGTGGCCTAGCAAGTATCTCTTTGGCTCGAATCGCAGTCGGAACAGTGTCACTGAGATAATGGTACGTCCGACTGACGAGTCCCGAATAGGATGAAGCGCACGGCCTGGATTCCACTGCAAGTCAGTAAAATGAATATAACGTCATGAATGTTTGGCAGGATCGAGGCATCCGCATAGGAGCCCATCTGTCAAAAGAGGTCTAGTCGTTCTTGCCTGTATAGCAGCAGGAAATTCCAAGTATCAAAACAATTACTGTGTAACATCTGATGCACAAAGTAAATTGGCTTTTGAACTCCAACATGCTGCTCAAGTTTTACTCCTTCATTTGAGATACACTCTATCACAGTTGTTGACTTTCGACTTTTAACCGATAGATGAATACAGTAGACCAACACAAGTTAAGGACTTAATGATGAATAGCCGGAGATTTCGTCTACTGACTGAGAAATATTGAATCCAAAGAGAATAGTAGTAGTATTTTAGTTAATTCTTCATTTATTATATATTACGCCGCTCTTAAGAAACAAATCCACTTTGCATGAAACTATTTTCTGACAAATAAGTTTTTTTTTTACCAGTAGAAGAACCAAAACTAATTTTTCTTGTTTCATTCATAAATTATTCTTTGCCTTCATTGGAAAAATATAGTTATATTTAAGAGTATTAATTAATTATAACTACATTTTTGAGTTTTGAGATTATCTAGTCCCCAATACCAAAGGTACGGAATTTTCAGTGATTCGATTATAGGGAGAAATACTACCATTAAAAAAAAACTGTACTTCTCTTGCCAAGAATGGTCGATTTTTTCCGTTAAAGCATAAAGTTATCTCAAGAAGATAAACTCCACCTATAAGTTTGCAAGCTAAAACGTGAGGACAATAAACTTATTCAGTTTATTGATTTTTGCTGACCTTTAGTTTCATTGCAAGATTGATTGAAGTGAATATATATATATATATATATATATATATAGGTAACAGGCTCCAAATATGCACGATACAAAATAATGTGGCAACATTATTAAGACGGAAAACGGAAACGGCTTGTTAAATAAGCACTATCAAAGATGAATCAGAAGTGGTATTTACGACTTTCGTTTTACTGTCCAGTAAAAGAAGACACAAAAGAGTTGCAGCATTATCGCTACTGGTTTCAATTCTTAGCCATGTTCGTTATTAGCTCAAGTCACAGAGTTGCATGATCCCTCGGATTCTGTCCACATAGTCGTGAGTCTCTTGCAGATGGGAACCCAGCATAGCTATCTCTCATACCATGATGCCATTTCATACACTGGCTACCTCTTCGTTTCTTTCAACCAACCTCACTCCAAGCGAACAGTGATTGGTGTGCGAGCCTCTAAAATGACATGTGTAACACATATTCGAGCCACCTAAGTAGTTACTTTTAAAAAACCACACTTAAGGAATGACAGTCTTCGTCACACCCAATTATACTCGGCCTCACCATAGACTTACTTGCATGGGGTTTGCACCGGATGCGTGTAATCCTGCGGAGACAACAGAGATTACGGATCTACTGCATCACCACGAGTTTTATTCAGTACTGTTAGTAAAATGCCATCGATGGTGAAGTTAAAGAGGAATAACGAAATCAGGAAACTCTCTCTATCCTCACTATTGGTTTGCAACAATTGAGATAAATGGCTTTTGGATTTCACTTTACCTAAGGAGTTGAAGCATCATATTTCCAATTTGTTGGCAAACCTTTCAAAGACACTCCTCCCCAACAGTCAATTCCAGCATACCGTTCCATCCAATAAATCTCTAACAGTCATGATATCCAGGAAATACGTGTGACATACAGATATATATATATATATATATATATATATATATATATATATATATATATATATATATATATGCATTTATAAACCTTAACAGCGCAAGAACAGCATATGTAGCAGGATAATATGAACTTATTTTTGGTAGTTTGAGGATTCTTCTCAGTTTCTTACATCCTAAGTAATATCTAAATACATACAGTACGAAAATTGAACATTCTCTAATTAAATTGACACGATCAGGTAGTACCATAGATAATGAACCATGTCAGTAGTTAAAGTAGTGGAAATCGTTGGGAATGTGAGAGGAAGATTGACTATCTAGATAGGATTATTACGTGAATATTCCTGTAAGAGAAGGTTCAGAAACATAGACTGTGAAACTGTAAAAATGGTCTGAATTTACAAAAGCTTGAGGAGTGATTTGAGTGGCGTTCAGATAAAAGATATTGATATTTGAAAGAGAATGAAAGCGTAGCTAGATAGAATGATATATAAAAAGTTTGCACACATTTTATTGTCAACTAGTCACCAGAGCAGTGCGCCAGTTGGTAATTTTATCTTTTTTTGCATACATAGATTTTGTTTTAGTCTTACGATAGTTATTGCTTCAGTGAAACGTGATTAACTTGAGTTCTTTTGCCTGTTGAACAATTCGAAGTATTCTTTGTTAACCATCTCGAACTACATACAAGTCCGTAATAGAAAACAATTATCAGTTACCGATTATTAATAAAAGCATATTTCTTATGTAACAGAAGAGTTTGTCTATCACTGTAAGAAGCGTAAGTCTATTGTTGTGTACAATTAGCTATCAGATCATTGATTTAAAGGCATTCTATCCACTTCAATGACTAACACTCTATTACACATGCAACTATTTACGAATATCTACCTCTTACTTCTCTCAATTCATATTCAACTATATTTATGAACTAGTTTAACAATTTCAGCATTCTTCTCATGGTACAGTAAATAATTCCATAAGTAATGAAAACAATTGAAAAAGAAGTGATACTGTTCTAGTTTGTTTCGGTTGAATTCTTTTAATGGTGAAAGTGATTAATTGCTCAGAAAAGATAAGCGATTTCTTCAAATTATTCTGTCGTAGGCATAGCAACAAATCTGTATTTTTTATTATTATTATTATTATCCAAATGGGTGAAATAAATATGAGACAGGTAGATATTACACACATACCTTTACGAGTATGCACTGACAATTATTTGTTACGACCCTCATTATTTTTGTTTTACTAGTCTATCACTACTACCAAAGTAATTTAGTTTGTGTGCGTGCATCAGATTACACGCATTGAGTTTGGAGGTGAATAACTTCTCAATCGTACAGACATATATCGATTTTTTGGTACATAATGTGAAAGACTACGTGTTCATGTCGCACTTGTCAAGATTAGAGAATCCTCAATAATATGTCTAATGCCGTTTTTTTCTAAATCTAGCGTGTAGAAAATTTTGAAGATGTAGTACTAAGACCGGGATGTGCTTAGCTCTTAACTCCTTAAAGTTTTTTATCGTGTGTTGTTTTACACTGTGTTCGTCTGTTACTTCTCATAAAATGAATCACGGTTCTGTCTATCATCTTCTATGAGCAAACAGAACAGATTCTTGTTTAGATTTTTTTTCCGCCAACTTACACCGTCCGTGGTGCTTCTGTGATACCTGATAGTCTATTAAGGGTTGAATGCCCTATGCTTTAGTTCGCTCTTTTCTACTATATGACTGAAATAGGTACTAAGGTTAGAGAAAATGCAAAGGCTTCAGATGTTCAACCATCGTTATCTTTTTATCATAGGCTGTGCTTCGTGGTGTTACCATGTCACTAGTGCAGACGTCACGTGGAGAGTTGTAGAGAGGAGAGAAAATTCAGTTGATGAGGTTGTGAACCTTTGTCGACTGAGATGTCTGGAACATGTGTTACACATGTCTAGTCACCGTCTGTCTCACCGCGCTATGTTAGCTGAAGTAAGTTCATGCTGGAAAAGAACCCAGGGCGGTCAGACTAAAACATCAGCACATGAGTTCTTCGACTGTTTGTTTGCACCATGTTGGGAGGTGCCAACCCAGCTGGTTCGAGTTCACATGACAGGAGAGACCAGTGGTTGGATTCTCTAGATGATATGGCTTAGAAACGATGTCAGTGGCGGAGATGTATGTATGTCTTTATGTACATGATGTTAATCGCCATATGGAATTCAGCGTTTAACTATTCCTCCTTCCTCTCTTTTACTGGTTTCAACTGCTTGTGACCGATTCGTCTTTATTTCTTCATTTTTCATCTTATTGCTTTGTTACTTGTTGAGTCAATATGAAGTTTAGCAACTTGAACTGTTATGCAATAATCCCTGGTCCTATGTTCTTATTGGTGATGATGAAAACACAAAAGCAGAATAGAAGCAGGAAAGTTCAGCAGACTGTCATAAAAAAGAACTTCATAAAATTAATGAAAAACTAACTGATAACCACACTGACGTTGAACAGATGAAATGAACAACAGAAATGATGAATGTTTAATTGAAGTACTTGATAAATTGAGGAGTATTTAGAATAAAAAGTCCAACAAGAAAACTACCTCACTGATGAAAAGGTAGAAAGAAATTACTGGTCAGCATTAACAATACATTGCACTAACTGCTAGAAACGAACTTCAGCCTGATTAAAGTAAAAATGGTTAAAAAGGAGGAAGCAAAAGTCAACATGGCAATGTACTTACTAAAATCTGAATATATCGTACTTTGAGAGTAGCACTAGGCCTAATCCATAAGACAACTAACTACTGATCACTACTGATCACTTCCGTGTAATAAAACTAAAATGACAGATAAGGAAGAAAATTATTTCTTTTTTAGTGGTAATTTCAACCTGAATCAAAGTGATAGCATTAGAAGTTTTAAGTAGAATTCTTAACAATTCTGAAATATAGATAGCCTTTAAACTCATTCAGAGATAAACTTGTTAATTCTGAAGATCCTATTCATCCTATTGGATGAAATAATTTGTTAAATATCCTTCAGCGACTTTTAGGTCAAAAACTAAAATCGTACCAACAGATTTGAGTCAATCAAATTATCACAACATAAGTACTTAGATTAATTTAGAATGATAGACCGTGTTCAGCAAAACAGTTTAAAAAAAAAACTCGTCTATCATTATGAATGCACTGCTACATAATGATAATATTGGATGAAATAAGGTAGCATTTGTTAATTTCATTGTATCTAAGTTGATGGAAAAAGTGACTGCTGAGTCTCCATTCATGAAGTCAACATTTTAATATATACACATTTTGGATATTTGAGAAATCTTCGTATCATTTAGATTGGAAAAATAAGGAGCTGTTGGACCATGTGAAAGAAAATGGAGAGGTTTAGAAATCACTCTGATGTGATTATGAACAATTACTTGTTATCGAAATGTCATCCACTAAGTAATATGTCATAGTACCCTATATCAAATAAACTAGTAGTATTATGCAGAATTACAGTTTTATCTTTTCTGGTTCTGAAACTATATTGACCTTTTTCCCTATTCGTTTGTAAGTGAACAAATCGGCTTGCCACTTGTAGCTTTAAATTGATGAACTTTTAAATAATAAATCCGATTCTTATGGGTTGTAGTGAAGAAGCTGTTTTGAATGAAAAAATTTCTTGTTCATTGGACTATTTTTTTTTTCAGTTACCACGTATCCATGCATTATAAATGTTTCACTTCAAGTTCCGACTGCAGCCTTTTTATGCATCATTTTTTTTCTGTTAATAAACAATTTGTCGATTATTCTCCACCTTAACATTTTCCACGACTAAATAGTTTTTTTCAAGTTGGTATTCATCATGGACTGACATCAGTTAAAGGGACATTGGAAACCTGGAAGCATTGGCCAGCTGTTTCGTCCTAGTATGGACTCCTCAGCAGTGCTCACCCACGACCTTCAGGTCCCGTGACCAGTACGTTACCGTTGAGCGACTGGGTCGGAATCCAGTGGTTCATATTTCCAACTTCTGTCACTTCATGGCAGCACGACCACCACTCAGGTTTCCAATGTTCCTCCAAATGATGTCAGTCCTTAGTGAATACCAACTTAAAAAATCTCTAAATCCCCAAATTCAATTAAATGGGTTTTTTTAAAGTTCATTTTCCTATATCCTTATGAAGTCATCCCAGTTCTTAGTGAGTCATTTATCCGATATCGCAGTTTGTAGTCTCTAAATATCACCAACTAACCAAATATTTGTCCTTCGAGTGTTTGTTCCGTTAATCTCTCTGTACTTTGCTAATCCGTGCTTCTTCTATGGTTCCTTATGTCAGTACTTATCTCTCACATTGTTTTAACTTGTATCATTAAGTACCTCAATCAGATCAAGACTCTAAAATAAAAATCGATGATTGGGTGCATGCATTAACCCCCCTCCCAGTATGAGATAAAACCACTATGCTTATATGCAGTATAATTAAGCAGGGAGAGGAAGATTGATTACTGAATCCTTGTTCATTGAATCAACACCCGCCGCATATAATGGGAATGTTTCAACTCCCATACCAGGGATACGGACAATTTTACTACTAATAGAAACATAGAATATAAGGTGACAGGACAATAAGAACCAGATATCGAAAGTGGTGTGATTACATTGATATAATTATGAGCAATAATATAGGATAACATTCTACCACAGTACCAAAATTTCACACATATTAGTAAGTACTGGTGCTTATCGATAGATAATGGAACATTTTTAGCTTGAGTAGAAAATTTTCAGTGATTCATCAAGAAGTTTCAGAGATATGGTTGCTTTAGTATTCAGGAAGTGAAAATTGATCCTTGTAACTATCCACTTTCCGTTAATTTTTAGGGTATGAGGGTGTTTCATTTTTTTTTATGTCCTTGGTTTCTAAACGGTTTTTACGGCATAGAACGAAAGGAGGAATCTTTACTATCGGAAGCTTGATTCTTTTACTACTACCTCCCAATGACTTATACTTGAAGTGAAGATTAGATGAGCATATATAACTTTCTACTGGAATACCACTGATATGAAACTATTCGATTACTGTGAGCACTGTAGAGGTGAGGTGAAGGGTACCATACCAAAAAATTAAATTGTTTGATGAGGTTGTGAACCTTATTCGTTTGAGATGGCTCGGAGATGTACTGGGAATGCCAAACCACCACCTACCTCAACTTGCCAAGCTAGAGAAAGGTTGGATTGGGTTGAAAGAACGTTCAGGGTGCCCGGACTAAGACCTGGCACCAGTCGATTAAGTCTCTTACTGTTGATTTGAGCCGTGCAGTGTGCCCAAGACTACAGGAGTCAATGGTTGAGGTCTTTTGGTGAAATAGCTGAAAATCGGTCACAATGGCGCGGATATATTCACTCCTTGACATATTTTAAAGCTTTAATATTTGATCTAACCGCTATCTTCAGATTGTTTTTTCTCTGACTCGACTTTGTCTGATTTGATATCCTTCTTTACCTATCCACCTGTTCTTTATATTGTTTGACCTCTGTTGGTATGTGGGCTCCTATGCGGATGCCTCGATATTGTCTAGATACTTATCATGGCAAGTGTATCAACAAATCGTAATCACCAATACCCTTTGTACAAGACGCGCTATCGTGCCTCAGTGGCCTTGTGAATAACGCTTTGGGGTTTGTAGTAATGGGTATAAGATTAGAGTCTCCATAAAAACCAGATCACTCACTGGGTTGCAGGTGTATCCAGCTGATGGGTTCCAAATGGGACTAAACGTACGTTTTAGGTTTCTCTACTAGCCACAACCAAGTAAATTATGACTATGAATAGCTGAAATAATTTGTTTCTCCGGCATACAAAAGTTCCAGATGAATTTCTTTTCGTGTACCTGCTAATCAACTCTAAATAAATTTTTTAGACATTTCTACTAGATGGGTAAACTCTGTATAAGAAACAACCATAGGAAGTAAAGGAATTTGAACCAGTTGAACTCAGCAATCAAATGCACATTAGCGAAATAGGCATTTGGTGGCATCTATCATGTTGGTGTAAATTATACTACGCAGCTGTCCGAACCTGGATGTGTGAACTAGGATTCGAACCTATGATATCTAGTCGGGTTATCAAGTTATATTAAACATCTATATAATAAATGGAGTTTATCAGCTGATTATTCACCTTATAGTCATTTCATATGTAAGTCGACTGAGAAATATTATCTAGCAGGAATTTTAGCAGTAAATTAATTCCTTAATCACATACTCAAAAGTTTAGTGTAATTCATTTTCAAGTTGAAATAGCGATTTTTCTATGCAACTGTTGTTACTGCTAGTCTTAGCAGTACTGAATGCTATTGTTTAACGTACTTTTGTTTGTTTTATTGTGCGCCTCTTCGATCACTTATTATTTTAACAATATTAGCATCATTGGTTTTATCACTAACCAATTTTAATGTTTATATTAATCGTGATTTTACCTTCTTTTAATCTCTAGCACAATCGTTCTGCATCATCCGTTAACCATTTGGAAAGGTCATATCAGAAACCTGTAAATGGTTATTTACGTAATGGTAGTGTTAATTATAACCATCAGAATGGAACATCTCTATGTCGACCACTTAAAATTCCCATAACAATAACTAGTCAATCTAATGAACGTGGTTGTTATTATCGGAATGGTAATGGTTTGCTTTTATCTACTATTGCTAACATTGCTACTGCATCAGCTACTCCACCGCCATTACCACCTAGAAAACCTACATCACAAATGTTCTCTCAATTAATATCCAATTCGAATTCACTTAAGTCTATTATATCTGAATCAAATCCTAATTTAATGAAGACAAAGGTTACAACGTCAGATAACAATAAATCAGATCGACAGTTATCATTATGTACGTTTCTTATCTGTTTTTGTTTTCAGTTTTGATATGCTCTCCTGCTTATAAATTGTTGAAACACAACCTCTTCATCTCCAATGTCTTGTATATTTTCAAGATACAACGGAATTAGGAATTTGCCTGATATAAAATGCCTTATAGAAGCAGTCGTAGATCATTCATACTAAATCAGCAGAGTGTTCAAGCTAATTTGAGACAAGGTCAGCATTCATTTACATCCGTACTCATCAGTAGTGTACCCAAATTTATTCAGCTAAGAGAACCAAATTGTTTGAATCCCCTTCATTCTGAAGATGTGGTTTCTTGGCTAGACTTTCAAGCAAATGAGTTCAGGGCTCAACTGAACAGCATCATAAGCCATCACAAAATAATTCATCTCTCACTATTTTAAGGTTGATAGTAGGAATCTCCATCAACACCCAAATTCAATTGGTGACTAGCTTCGAGAGGTGATTCTTGAAGTTCCAGTGAGAAGTCGTGACCAGTGTCGTGAACTGACAGAAGTTGGAAATATGAATCATTGGATTCCGACTCAGTTACTCAATGGCAACGTGCTGGCCATGGAACCTGAAGGTCATGGGTTTGACCCCTTACAGGGTGGTGGGTGCACACTGCTGAGGAGTTCCATACAAGGACGAAACAGCTGTTCATTGCTTCCAGGTTTCCAGTGTTTCTCCAGCTGATATCAGTCCATGATGAATACCAATTTGAAAAATCTCTTAATCCCCACAAATCCCCAAATTCAATTACTTATTCTTGTCAGATAAGTAATCACTGTACAGTGTTCAGTGTTATCGGTTAGGCAATCACTTACATAATATCTTGTTCTGAGTGTTCAATTAAGTTTACTGATCGAATTTTTTATGTCGTAACTGTGCTAAACTACTCAAAATTATGGAGATTTCTTTTTGATATATATATATATATATATATATATATATATATATATATATATATATATATATATATATATCCTAATCGTAATTTCTTTATTTCAACTTTTACAGGTGAACGTAGAGCCAGACGATTTCTTAGCATAAACGATAAAGGATTACAAACATCCCCATTGAAAATCACTTTCCCGTTAAGATTACCTATTAAAAGTGATTCACAGTCATCTGAAATTGAATTATTTAACAAGCAAGGATCATATGAGTCAATTTCAGGAATTATAAAAGGATTATCTATTGAATTTGATAAAACTGCACGAGGTACACTATCTCATTCACCGTCTACTATTCACAGTCGATCTGGTTCATTATCATATTATTCTGCAACAGAAACAAAATTGGATCAAGCCAACTCATCAGCAAAAAGTTCAATGCCTGAATTATTATTGTCAACTAAAGAATTATCTTTAGGCAATGATGATGATGATGATGATGATACATCTAACAGTAAACATAGATTACTTGTTCGACTTAAATATGCTACAGTGAGTTATGTTTTTAGTATTATTTTTTTTACTAAAGCAAAGGAAAAGGGAATAACGTTCAGAAGAAGAAGAATTTGAGCAAACAATTGTTTTCAATAATTGCTTCTTCTTCTTCTTCTTCTTGATCTACGGTTATAAATCCATGAGAATAATTGAAATACAAAATAAGGCATTGGTTGGTCACAGTAGAGCAAACAATTTCATATTGTCTAGTCCTGCATGCAACCCAGTCATACAGGTCAATCACGGCCCGGATAGCTCAATGGTAAAGTCGTTGACTACAACACATTGGGTGATATGGATTGAAATTTCATCCAGGAAATTACTCCGGTCGAGGTTGCAGATACACCCTGCTGATGAATGCTTATAAGCACGAAATATGAGTTGAGCAGGGTTTCCTGCCGATTGCCTCCAACCAACTAACAAGGCATAATGTACAATTATTACTATATTGAAATAGTCAGTGTTATGGGTGAATGAAGATCAAATCGAGTGGATTGGTGGAATGGTGATCAGTCCAGTGTGTTAGTTGAACAGTTAAGAAATGAGGAGACAAAAAGTCTACAGATAATGATTCGTTTATATATATTTACTGATGCATGAATGTGTTTTTTTACTAAGGGTTGTGGTGACTTATATTCAAGTGGGGTGTGAATCGTGTATCAGCCGAGAAATCATGTGAACACTATAACGAAATAGAGAATAACAAATGTGAAGTGTTACGTCACGGTAGGACGGTTCATATTGTGGGCCAAAGTTGACAAAGTAAATGTACATATTACTTTCAAATACACAGGTCAAGTTTCCTTGGGTTGATACCCATGGCTTTGGCTATGGATAAGATGCGTTGTCGTGCACCCTTAGGGAGATTACAAGAGATACGATATGTCATAGAAAAGGAATGATCTACCTTGATCTAATGACCGGTATCTACTAGATGAGAGCGACTGTAGTGTTGATGCCTTTTACCACTCCTTCCCCTAACCAAGCTGGTACATGTTTACAAGCATGTGTGGGTAGAGCCCTTTGAGTGTGGCCTATATAAATAGCTTTACAGGAGCAGTTGAACTCATAAATGCACGTTGAAATGGCCATCATCGATAACCTATCCTTGGTTCGCTGTTTTAGTAATGGTTTCGTTGAGAAGCTGAAAAAAAGTTTCGCTGCATTGAACGTCCTTTCGTCTGATCTACTTAATCGATGTATTAAGATATCCTAGGCAATATCACCTTTGAAACTTGTTCTAAGATATATAGGCTTCTTAGCAATAGTATCTTTTTACTTCGAAATATTTCTCACTAGATACATGTACACCCATTCTTTCCAGTAGTCCTTTAAGCAGTAATAATTTTAAATCTATAACTCTAATCTAGTTTGTTATGATTTTTGAGTATATGGATGAATTTAGAATTCTCACTGAAGTCAATGACAAATTTCGTTGGCTAGTTAACTACTCATCAAATTAATGGGCTATCGTTATGATTACTATTAATTACTATAAACACGATATGCTACTAGTAAACAAATTGAGTAGTTAGAAGCCACTCAGGTTAATCTGTAGATTTTTCCAGTCAGATCACGGTGATCTAAATAAACAACTCAGTTGGGAGAAATGTCAGTATGAACCGTGAAATTTGTAAATCATTCACAAATTAATCACCCTATTTTAGGTATGAACTAAATTTGACCGGGTATACCATTGATGAGGTGGCCCCAAATAAGCCAAACCCCCCCGCCTCTGATTACATGGATCACTTTCATCTGGCTAGCGAAATCTACAGACCGATAAGCCTGAGTGCTTTTTAAGCACTAAACTTGATTACTTGATTTTCGTAAGTAGGAGAAACCTTACAGTAGAACTACAGTTTATTACATGTTAGCTTTTTCTTCCATTGAATCTAGCGAAACGATACAACATTATTGGTTGAATAATATTGGTTAAACTACTAATGCTTAGAATCTTAACTAGATCTAAAATGTTTGATTTCATAAAGACAAGAGGTTTTTGTTTCAGAAAAAAGCTATTTTATTACCATGCATCGAGATCGAAGTGCACTCACTAACCGTGTGCACATCCACGAAGTAGGCAATCAGCCACACTTATGGTATGTGAGGGCTAATGATACTACAGTCTGACTCCACAAACTTCACTAGGTGGAACGGGACTCGAACCCGTGACTCATTTGTTGGAAGTCATCTCCCCAAACCAATGAGCTACAGCTCGCTGCATAGAATTGCTTGAAATCGTAAAAATAGATGAGGATCAAGTAATGATTGTAAAAACTGACGTGTATTAGAGAAAACAACTGTTGAGGAAATTTATTGTGTGTATGGAAACATCTATGTGGAATTGTAAATATGAATTGAATCGCAGACGCGAAATCAGAAAAAAATCGGATAAACGCTTGAACCGCTAACGGTTCACTTCCACCTTTTTACACAGTTGACTGGGTGGCGTCATCAGATGTAGAAAAGTAATCTTCTTTCTCTCCAAACTACCCAACAGTTATCTAGTTATTATTATTGAAAGATAGTGGTTAGCAATAAAATCCAGGACGCACGTCTTGTTCTATTTGGGACTCATCAGTTTGAATAATATGCACCCAAGTGAGTGATATTATTCCCACTAAAACTGGAACCCAGCACCGATCGCTTCAAACGCCACTAGATCATCGTGTTGTAATAGCCAATTCTTGGTTGAAACGGGTATAGTTTCATATGATTTTGCTTGTATTATCCCATCGTTGGTTGGACGGAATTGATTGGACATTAGAAAGCTACACAGTTGTTTGAGCTGAGTATCGTGTGCGGTAGCCTGCAAGTAGACTCGTTCAGCATTCAGATAAACAACCGTTTACATCATTGTAAAGGGTTTCATAATATTTTCTACTGATTGGTGTAGATAACACACAAACATATTTGTTTTTATCTTCACTGATTTTACGTTGTATATTTGAAAAGAATCTTAAAGAGTCCTTTATCATTTCTATGTTAAACATCAAGATCAATATAGGACTAGGCATTACTGCATAGCGGTCCAAGTTGCCACACCTCACATCACATCGAGTAACAAGACAGTAAAATGGAAGATGAAGAGGGAAATGAAAATCGGTCAAAGGAAGTAGAAGTAGGAAGTAGTAAAAGAGAGGAAGGACGAATGAGAAAATGATGAGATTAAGTAAAACGGTTAAGATGAGGATAATGTGTATATGCATCTGCGCCGCTGACATCGGTTCCGAGCCGTATGACCTAGTCTCCAACCACTAGTCTCGCCTTGTCCAACGGACCCCAACCAACTAGTCTGCATCGCTCTATATGGCTCAGACGAACAGTCAAGGAGTTCATGCAGTGACGCCATGTTTTAGTCTACCCCTCCCCCTCTGAGCCTTTTTCTAGCCAACATTATGTGGTGAGGCAGATGGTGGTTAGGCATATGTATCACATGTCCCAGCCATCTCAGTCAGCGAAGGTTCACAATCCCATTAACTCTTCTTTCTCTTCCTTAAAACTCTGCGCCCGACTTCTGCGTTACTCACGTGGTGACACCACGAAACACAACCCATGCTATGAAGAGAAGGGTGGTCAAACACCTGAAGTCTTCTCATGTCTTCTACCTTTAACAGCCATGTTTCACAGTCTTACAGTAGAACAGAGCAAACTGTATGGCTGTGTTAAACTGTTTTCAAGAAAGTGTATGACAAGCAAAGAAAAATGGGTATTTTAATGAAAATACTTTGGATTAGTTTTATTGTAATATGAATGAATGCGCTTAGGTTTCAGGTGAATAAATTTCTTACATGCAGTAAAATACTGTTGATAACTCTATTCTCTCTGTCTTTCTTTCTGCCCTTATCTTTTTTTCTTTTCTTTTCAAATCATCAATGAAACATTAGATTTCACCTCGAAGGAGAAGTCAATCAATTACCAATGTCCCACCACACCTCACATTACATCGTGTTCAAACTGATTCACCTTGTCAACGTTCAACTAGATTATTTAGAGTGAAATCTATGATTGATTCCATTGACTCACCATCTATAGCTCACGTTGAATCACATTTAGGAAATGGTGATTATTAATTGGAGTAGATTTCACTTGTTTATTTTATTAGCAACTGAAGAAGAAGAAGAAGAAGCAGCAAAATCTATGAATAACTTGCAATATGATCTAAATGTTTATTGCCTTATTCTACAACACACATACACACAGTTTGTCGTTAGTAGGTGTGCAACTTCCACAACAAGTTTTTTCTTTTCATTTCAAAGCTACACTAAATATGCTGCTCATATACATCTAGATTATTATAATCAAGGGAAATAAAGTGAAAATGTATATGTTAGAACAAAATCGAAAATCTCAAAAAACTGCTTGCCTTCATTGCCTAATTCATTTTGTCATATCGTGTTGATATACACTGCCTTACATTAATAATAAACAATAGCACTGTGATAGACACTGTGGGACAGTCAAATAATAGTGATAATAATGGTAATAATAATGAGAAATTATTATTATCAATATTACTATTATTGTCAATTATTTTTCAGTATTATATGCATATTTCCTCATCCTCTTGTATATAAGTATAATATACTTGCATAACCATTATTGAAGCAGAGCACAAATCACGACATGAATAATCATTGAAATGTGAACTATTGTACCATCAAAGCATATCATCGAAGAAAGAAAAAAAATCCAGATATATTTACCTTATATTTCTCTTCCTCTTTTATTCCTATGTAGGAAATAAACACACTGCTTTCGTCAAATAACTTTTTGGTCATTTCATTTCGCTTCTTTTTCTACTTAAACTGATTGTTGTATTTTGAACGAAAATTAGCATCATTTTCGTCAATGGTCAACTCCGTTGTCATCATCATCTTCAGATGGATAGTGATTGATATTTTTTTTTCCTCCAACAGGAGATTCATAAAGAAATAAGATAGTCAGTTTTATGTGAATACTGAGTAATGACAATGAGATATTTTCTACTGATTTGTTCCTTTTTAATGTGGTGTTTTACACTGGTATTCGATTCGATGACACATTCATCGTGTGACTGACTGAAACAATCTGGCACTTGGGTTAGTAATACACCACTACCAGGGGTTATCGAAGCTTGAGGCATCATATCTAGAGAAAGACAGTTAGATCATTAAAAAAGTCAAAATACTTACTTGATGGTGCGTTGAGAATAATAATGAGTTGCTCAAGGGAGACACTGCACCTACGGTTTTAAGTCGTCAATCCCTGCTGTCAGGTTCATAGACTGGGTGGTCTTTGAGAGTTTTGGCCATCATACCTGATAATTATAGTTGACTTCGTTGTGTCTAGCAATGGGATTTAGGGTACGCGTTTTGTCCTTTTTTTTGGACTCGCCTGATGAATGTACTTGCAACCCAGTGAGTGGTGTTTCTACTGAGACTCGGACCGCGTGCCCATCGCTTCAAACGCCAAAGCGGTACCCAATAGGCTACTGAGGCATGATAATAACCTCTTACACGACGGGCATTAATTATCATTATTTGTTGATGTATGTGTAACTCTTCGTTGTTATACTGGATCGAAATGTGCTACCTCAGGTGGCAGATGGGCTCCGATGCGGATGCCTCGATAATGTTTGACTATTTAATGTTTCAAATGATATAGCTGTCCTATCTGAGACGCACGCTTCCTTCTATTCAGGCCTCGTCAGCTAGGTGTGCTTGCACCCTAGTAAGTGATTTTGTTCCTAAGTTAATTATGACTGTAAATATTCAAGAAATATCGAGGCAACCTCGCAGCAGCCCAAATGCCAAAAGAGGTTGATCAGTGCAGTATGACAACGGAGAATTACATGTATCAATAAATAACACCTGATAGTTCGTTGTTTAATTTTCAATGTTTGTACTTTTCACTAAAATCAAAATGGTAACAATTCTTATTTAGTTATTTTAAACAAAACAGATTAGTGGCAAACATTTTTTTTATTTAAGTAGCCTGTCATCACTGTATATATTGGTATTACGACTTTTGCAGTAAATTATCTATCCGGTTTTGGCAGTTTCAGTTGGCTACTTGCCAGCACTTACAAGTTTTAGCTTATTCATAAAGTGAATAGTTGACTGAATCAATAGACCACGTAACAGGTAGGAGAATTAAACAAAATGGGAGAGGAATGAAGAAATTTCAGTAAAGCAAGTTAATAAACAATACACTACACAGTAATTAATCGGGGAAAAAAAAAGAGAAGTTATAACAAACTAAATGTTATCAGTAGTAATATACAACTGAATAATGAAAAGAGGAAAATATTTTGTCGTTACAAGTTGATTAGATTTTATCTATGGCCTGCTGAAAGTTGATCACTCATCAAACAAATTGTATTTCATTCTCAATCTTATCATGTGATTAGTGAGATTTTGTTTAGTATCAGCTCCAGAGAGCAGTTCTAGTTCACTGGTTTAGATAGTTAACTTTCAGGCAGTGGGTCACAAGTTCAAACCCCGCTTCTTCTACCAAGGTTTGGGGAGCCATGTATTTTCATTATCCCTGAAACAAGTGTGCCTTATTGCCTGGCACACAATTACTGAGTGGATTTCGATTATATAAACAGAAAATGGACTCTCCAATGTCCCCTGTTTTTGCGAACCTCTATGCATACCACATTGTATCGCTGATTTTCATTGATTCTCGCAGACCATATATCTGTCTCAGATTTATAGAGATGGACTTTCTTTTATAAAAAGATCACCTATAAGGATTATCGTATTCAATAAGCTTTTTGAAATTAAAGTGATGAACCGTGAAACCTAAGAAGATATATGTTGAACCACCATATTCAAACCGATATCTTGACTATAACTCGATGTTACACTTTCATTTCCTGACCGTATTTCGGAGGGTGACTTAATTTATCACAAATAGAGATTTCATTAAAGAGAACCAAATTATACTTTTTAGAACAGTACGGTAGTTTTACCTTCTTTCTGAAACATTTTGAGAAAACAATAAATTTGATCGTCGTAGATAAAACGCTTACACGATCTATGATTAGCAAAGTAGTTCATATAAAAGACAAAGTACTGCGTTTATAAGTTAGACTATGACACTTTGTACACTGGAAATTCATCTCAATTGCGCCAAAATGACCTCCAAATAATCCTTCACTGCTAAAAAGTTGTGTACGTAAACGTACAGTTCAGACGACGAAACATGCCCATTGAGTCATAAAGGAGATAATTCAGCCAAGAAAATTTTCTTTCTCGACGATTTCATTTTCTAAAGCTGTAAAATCGTATTTATACATATATCATAAACATATAACAGTCTATTATTAAACAATGGTGTATAATTGTATCAATAAGCTAGTACTAAAACAGAGAAGTCAGGAATGGAAAGTAGTTACGTAATCGTCTTTTAGACAGTGGAAATAACGAGAAACGCAAGAAGTTTGACAAAGTGAAAATTGTTGGTAGATGGGAAATGTGAATATTGAGTGTCCATTTGACAGATAGACGTAAAGAAGGTGAAGAATGAGACAAGGATCATAATGAAGGTGATAACAGTAAACTAAATGATTATAATGAAATCGAAAACTGTGAAAGTGTTAAGACCATGATAAGAGATTGGACTTCGTTTGCACGCAAAGATCAGGTTTGAATTGATGAAATGCCAGTGCCTACGATGTACACAACTTTCGAAGGCGTACTTTTTTTGAACTATTCCATTTGACTATAAATGAAGCTGAAGGAGGACTTTGGTCAAGCTATATGGCTAGAGTTGACCAAATGTTCAAGAATTGAACTGTTAATGGGTTTACAGTTCAGAAATTTCCCAGTGGAAATATTACAGCGTAATAGATGAATCATCGATTAACACCAAATAATACTTATCAGGTTCTACAGTCTACCCAAAATGGTGTTTCAATCTGTAAATCTAGACATCACCTTTTTTCATGCCAGTGTTCACCTTAGACAATTTTCTTTCCTGTAGAACCTAATTAGTCTCAGTTTAGTAAGTAAAAAGGCTTTATAGATTCATTTCCACTGCGAATTTCAGATTCAATGACGACATCCACTTGAAAATAAATGATTTTGTAGTGCAACACCTTCAGAGAGACCCTTTTTGTACAACTATACAGCGAGTCTACAGAATACTCAGTTTACCACGTTTCTATTTACAAAATATAAGTGGGTGACATGTTCCAGATAAGTTAATAAACCTGAAGTTACTTCAGACATTCAGTAGCATCCATTTGTCTTCCAGTCTTAACCTAGAAACAGAATTAATTTCTTTTCATTCTCTTGTTGGTCACTTCCAAAGACAAGAATGATAATTCACTTCATACGTTCATTTAAATAAAATATACATGCAACCAACAAGCAGTGTATCTTTTTCGGAAGTTGTGTTATAAATGAGGTATCCATTCATTTTTCTTGATAATGACATAAACATTTAAGGAAAGCCAAGAAGGTCTCCGATGAATTCTGATATAGAATGAATTGTCACGGAAATTCTTATATCACTTAGACACCATCGAAAGCGTTCACCTAGCTGGGACACAAATTCTGCCGACAAGCTTCACAATCAAAAAAATATTGCTGTAGGTATTGTCTGTAGAAGTATCAAGATCTCTCAGTAAGATCTTATATACTACTAGTCTTCGAATACTTTGCTTCTGCTAGGACTTCATTAACCATTCTGCGAAGAACAACTCCATCTATTAAACCAAACCGATGTGCATTCATCAAACTGACTCACCCGACTGGGGCTAAGTATATATATATATATATATATATATATATATATATATATATATATATATATATATATATATAGCTAGTACATTTACATGGTGGTCGAACCTGCATATAACAATGACCCAAAGAATTATACTTGCTGTAACGCTTATTCCCTCGTGGCTCGTCTATGCCAAAAAGGTTTGTTGGATTTTGGTTAGATAAAATGTAGTTACTGTTACAGTGAAAATTGCTACACTGTCAGAAGTGCCAGACCGAATTTTCACTGCTGCTTGCTGATTAGGGTGTGAAAGCAGTGGGTTTCTCTTGAATGACTAGCAGTAGATGGTAAAGCCTGTCTATGGTCGATTAGAAGATGAAAAAGTCAAATCTGCATTTGGGGAAGCAGTAGCCCAGCATTTATCTGAACATGACACCAATGCTCACTCTGAGGTGACATTAAGTCTGTTGTACGGATAGTTGGTAACCTACATCCGAAGGTTAACAAACGTCATTGGATTTCCGCGACGTCATTCAAACTGATTGGTGCGAGAAGACTGATGTCAGCCGGCTGTAACCACAGTGAATGGTAGGGACAACTTTAACGTCACTTGACCAGGAGTTTTCGCAATGATCGTCAGCAGAGGTAGGTGGTGAAAGCGAGAGAGATAAAGAAGATATCAGCGTTACACACCACCTGCAAACATTGAGGATTAGTAAGGATACTAGAAAGAAGAAAAAATCGACTCAGGACAGACTGCTGAACCACTGTTCATCTAGCCCTCAGAAACATTTCACTTCCCCAACATTCAACCTGAACGTGACTGGGACGTAGATATCGGGCGTCTAACTTCCCTTGAAGTTAAGAAAGCTGTATCAAACCTGAAACGAAAGAAGGTAGCAGGATATGACAGTTTACCACCTGAAGTTGTCAAGGGTGGAGGTAGGAAATTGCTTGTTAGAGTGACGGGGGTACTACGTAGTGTATAGGAATCAGAAGTAGTCCCATCACACCAGTCTAGTTCACTGATCATACCAGTCTACAAGATGAGAGAGAGGTCATATTGTGACAACTATACGGGAACTAGTTTGACTAATATTATTTCTAAGATCCTACCATCCACAGTTATCCGACGCCTAACTGGAGCTCGAGAACAGCAAACTCGAGAAAACCAGACAGGTTTCAGACATGAAGGAGGGTGCTTCACTCATATTTTTATCTTACGACAGGCTCTACAATACTGAAATACGTACCTACTGGTGGCCGACACTTT